GGATACCAGAGTGAAGCATAGCAGAGTCAGCATATAGAATCATTTTCACATTACAGTGTATGAAACATGTTTTGTTCTGTCCTTATATTGGTCTGGCTGAAGGTATTATGTTTCCAGGTTACGCCTATCTGTCAGTACAGTCCATACTGTAGTGGTTTACACATTCGCCTAACAAATGAAAACTCCTCAGCCCGATCGCAGGAGGAGACACAAATCCCTTTGAGGTTGCATCAAAAAGAAAAAAGAAATCTGCCAAACCAAGCATGCAGAGCTGCCTGCTTGGCAACCCTTTAAAAATAAGGGAGCAGTCAAAAGTAGCTGCTGCTTCCACCAGTCTATCCTCATGTAAGTGATTTCAAGGGCAAAATTACACAAGAATTCCCTAATAATCTATGTCTAATAGAATAAAGTGAAGTGGTGAATTTTATTGTCCCAAATGTCAACTACGTGGTAACGTCAGCTGATTTTATTAGCCACTATTAATGAGTGTAATTCAACAGGAAACTATGACCATATATTTGGTCACATAATGAAGTGTTAAAGGTGTTTGGCTTCAGACTGTGGTGGCTATAAAGATATCCTGTTTTGCTTTCTCTATATCTGTCACATCCCTGACTTCATAAGATTTCTACCACACCAAAGTATGATGCGGTAGAACGTTTGGTTCTGTAGAATAAAGAAACTTCACAGTGTAGCAACATGAGGTTCTTATATAGCGCTTTTCTACTCTGAGCATTCAAAGCTCTTTATACAACTTGTACATTTACCCAATCACACCCAAGCACTTTCTAAGTTGTTAATTGCTCCCTATCTAACATTCATACACATTCACACTCTGATGGACGTGTGATGCCATGTTTTATTAATGTTGGGTTAGTATCTTGCCCAAGGATATTTGGCATGCAGACTAGAGCAGACTGGGATCTAACCTTCTAGTTAGTAGCTGACCTGCTCTACCACCTGAGCTACAGCTACCCCCAGGCACCTACTGGTATAAACCAAGTGTACAACTAAAAATAAATATTTAAAAAAAACTTAACAATTTCTGCTAGCTAGCATATTATAAAAATAATTCAAAATACACTCACTGGCCACTTTATTAAATACATCTTTCTTGTGCTGGGTTGGAACCCCATTTGTGCACAGAAGTGCCCTCATGTTTCATGGCACAGGGTCAACGCAGTGCTGGAAACATTCCTCAGAGATTCTGGTCCACATTGATAATGGCCAAATTGTGCCAAGAAGATATTTCCCCACACTCTTACACTGCCACCAGAAGTCTGAACAGTTGAGACAAGGTAGAATGGATCAATGGTTTCTTGTTTTGTTTTTTTGTTTTTTTTACGCATGTTGCAGCAAAAACTAAACCTCACCATACCAGGCAATGTTTTTCCAACCTTCTATTGTCCAAATTTGGTCAGGAAATGTGTCTTAGGTTCCTGTTCTTAGCTGACAGGAAGGGCATCCGCTGTGGTCTTCTGCTTCGAGGCTAAACATGTGCGTTCAGAGATGCTCTTCTGTGTACCTTAACTGTATTGTGGTTATTACCATACTCCAGATGTCTGGCATCAATGAGGCACTTTCACCCATAGGACTGCTGCTCATTGGATATTTTCTGTTTTCTTTAAACCACACTTAAATCATCTTTTTTTCCTATTCTGAGGCTCAATTTTAATTTCAGCAGGCTGTCTTGAGCATCTCTACATATCTAAATGCACTGAATTGCTGCCATGTGATTGGCTGGTTAGATATCTGCCTTAATGAGCAGTTGAACAGCTGTACTTAATAAATTGTCTGGTGCACATATAATTTAGAACCAGTAATAGTGTAGTGATTGAGACACTAAACACCAGTTGAAATCAATTATGTGTCTGGATTGAATAAATAAATGGCGCGTGTGTTCCTCTAGGCATGATGGGTCCCAGACGTCGCATGGACAACCAGGAGAGCCCGCGCATGCTGATGAAAGACGAGGCATTCTCTCAATAACACAAACACACATTCTCTCACCATCGTGTGTGCGGAGATGCACACAGAGACACGCTCACAGGACGACCAACAACACTTCACCTTTGGTTCTTTATGTTGTGAAATGAATGGACGTTGATGGTTAAAGGCAACCTTTGTGGTGTTTGCTGCTCTGCAGAAGCAGTTCAGAACTCCCAACCTTATACTTGACAAATTTATTTTTATTCAGAAAATCATTGTACCAACACTTGTTTTGTTTTTTTTTAATAATTTTATGTAGTTATCATTTTCGACTGATACTTGTCACCAAATATGATTTCACTGCACAGATGTAAACTGCAGTGTAATTCATTGAGAGACGGTGTACGCTTACAGTATTTTCTTTTCTTTTCATAAAATACAGAAATGATTACAGTGGATGTCCTTATATTACCTCACATTTTACAATCTCATTCTTTGAAAAAAAAAAACAATAATGTCAAAGACAATCCTTGCTAATGGTTTGTCTTATTTTCACCTTTCACTGTCTGAATTTCTCAAACAGAATTTAAAGACAAGCATCTCTGTCGTTCACCTGTGGAAACTTGTTTCACAATGTTCAGGACACGAACTCCTTAAGTGTAGAAGCAGGTATTTGGTGCAGAAAGCAGGTTTCTTCATTTTTCATTTTTTTTTCTTTTTTGGTGGGATAGAGTTGCTTGTTTTCTAGCATTGAAATATGTCTTTGTATCATGTGTTTACATTGTAAAGGGTTACATGTGTCCTTGGTGTGATGTGATAGTGTAAATATTCTAATAGTTGAATTGCTGCTATCATGGCTCAGTTTGTTTCATCTGTCTAGCAAAATAAATGATTTGTTATCTGTCCTGTGTTTTCATATTCATTTTAACAAAAGTATGAAATGTATAAAATGTATAAAACGGCAACCAAGTACATGGAATTAATGTCTAACTGATCAACAGGGGGTGCTGTTGATCAGATGATGTACACATGCTTCTGTTGCTAGATGTGGGGCTAAATATTATCTTGGTTAGTGTGGTTGTAGGTCATATTCTCAGAAAACTGTCATGTTGTAAACACAGCCATGTTCATACAGTTCAAGCTTCTTATTCAGAGTTCATTGTGCCAAGGGGGAGCTGATAATGTTGTTTTGTGTAGCCTTCCTAAACTCTGCAGTACAGGCATTAATGTAGCCCATAGGTTAAAAGATTTTGATGAGCAATAGTTCTCAAGGCTTTCTGAAAGTCTTTCAAAGTTTTTCTTTAAATGTGGGCTGCTTTGTCACTCATATTCATATTCAGTCCTTGTACCTGACCATCTTTGGGAGAATGTTTTTTTCTCTTTAAATTCAAGCATAAAAGGGGGCATTTAACTCACGGGAGGAACCAGTTTTATGTCTGCATATACCAGATAACTTAGCACAGGACCAGTTTTAAAGTGGCACTTTTTTAGACACAAATAATTCCAAAGATAACACAGTTTGAGTATGTTACAGCAACAAGCTGGTTTCTAAAGAGCTACTAGCTGAAGACTTGGCATAATTTGGTATTGGGTGCAAGAAAAACTGGACAAATAGAAGGGGGGGGGAAGTGCCAAGCCTAAAACAAATATCTACAACAGATGAACAGTAAACAGAAAAAATCCAGAAAAACTGACAGAGGATCTATGTACTGTTTACTGAAGGCTCTTCAGAAGTAACCTCAGTGGAAGGTTGGCCATCAACAAGCTATTCTTAAGGAAGGGAAATGGAGAGAAATGGCTGAGGTATGCAAAACTTCACAAGAATTGGACAGTACAGAGGAGGTTAGGGGAGTGGTAGAACAGTGGGTATCTACAGTCATCTGTATAACATGGTGGAGGCTCTCTCGAGGTTTGGGGCTGTGTTTCAGCAAATGGTGTTGGGGATCTCTTTAAAATTAATGGAAAAGTACCATCATATTTAGATCCACCATGCAATGCAATCTGAGAAGTGTCTGACTGGCAGTGACATCATTTTTTAGCAGGAAGGTAATCCCAAACAAAGAAGAGCTTTGAATGTCCCTCAAGAAGACTGGAGGGACATATAGCTAAGAGAACTATTCCTGAAGAGCATTTAAGTTGCTTAAGAGAGTTCATGCTGTGCTGATGAATAAATGTAGTCATACCAAATGTTGGCTTTCAAGCTCGCTAGAACAGCCTCTGTTTTTTCCCCCTTTTCTTTTATCCTGCATTTCCCTATATGTCTCAGTAAATTGCCTACTCCCAGTATGAACCTTCCAGATCCCTCAGGTCATCTGGATCCAGCTTTTTATCAGTTCCCAGAGTCAGAACCAGACATGGAGAAGCTGCATTCAGCTTTTATGCTCCATATATCTGGAACAAACTCCCAGAAAGCCTCAGATCAGCTGAAACACTCAGTTTATTTAAATCCAGGTTGAAGACTCACCTGTTCTCAGCTGCATTTGAATAAAGCACCAAATTCGCAATGTTTTACTCTTAAGCGTAAATTTCAAAACGTACATTTTAACTACTGATTTTATCTACTGTTCCTTTATTTTTTTTTCCCCATTTTAAATCATGCTTTTTAGTTGTTTTTGTTTTTTAATGTCTCTGTAAAGCATTTTGAATCACCTTGCTGTTGAATTGTGCTATATAAATAAACTTGCCTTGCCTTACTCCGTCATTTCCCCCAGGAAAATATAAGGATGGGTGGCATAAGACTTCTAGATTCAGCACATTACTGTTTACCAAAAATTAGTGTTCAGGAGGCAGAGTATTACTCCAGGTTATAGTTTGGCACTACTGAGAAAAGTCTCGAGCTTCTGATCAAGAAACAAAATTACACTATTACAAACCAAGCGCAAGTTTCTGTAAGTCACATTTGAAATCAAGCATTGAAAATAAAACATAATTGAAAATATATACTTTTACAAAATACAAAAGAAATAAAGACTTCGGACTAGCATGTGTTTAAAGGTGTTCGAAAAGAAAAAAATCGAGATTATTGCGCGCTGAAATTTGGAACTTCATAATTTCCGATGTTTGTGAACGCAGCATGTAGTTGAGAGTACTTGGTTTTGCTTTAGAGTGCAGACAAGCTATCTGCTCAAGATACTCAGTGTGTCTTTAGTACGACGTTATCATGTTTTTCATTCGCCTCACGGTGTAATAGCTGTTAGTTATCGTTTATGTGGCGTCGTTCAGTCGTAAAGGCGCGAGTGGGAGATGACAACAGCTCCCACTTGGTGTGTTCACAAAACGAGCAGTCACTAGGTAGAAGCAAATCCCGGAACTTGAAACGGTAGGAAGTGAGCTAACGTTAGCTAGCTTTTTGTTGACAGTGTGCTTGCTGTCAAACCAGAAACCGACCTAAGCAGAAGTACCCGGAGTTAGTTAGCTACCTACTTGGAGACTTCAGCCTGCCGTACTTTTATTTGGGCCGAATTTGGTTTGAAGTTCCCGTCACTTTTAACCACTTGTGGCTCTAGAAGATGGCATCGAGGGGAAGCTTCACGGGTCCTCCGATGAATCCGAGTATGAGCCCCATGAATGTTGGGCACGCCGCGGGCATGAGGATGCAAGGAATGCCCCAGCCTCCGGGGGGATATCCCAGAAGCATGAGCAGCGTTCCCCAATACCCCCAGGTTGGTTCTGCTTGATTTCTCCGTGTCGAATAAAGAAACTGAGTGAAAGGTGAGGGTGACGGTATTTGTCCGATCACCCCCATGTGTGTTTAAGCTTTTCGTTACTTTTTTTTAAAAATTCGTGTTTAAATAAAAGTAGCTAATTGAAAAAGTCGCCAGAGAGACATGGAAATAAAAACAAACAAACATAAAGCTCATTATATATCACCGTGTGGACACTACTTCCGCCTTCGAAGTGGGTGTAATTATTTATTAATTACCGCAATAATTAAGTGTAACCCTTTTTTTCTTTTATGGCATTTAAAGTGGTTCATAAAAGTAGTGGGATGTTTAATTCAAATTGATATCGTTTAGCGTTTTGTGCGCGTGTGAAAAAGAAAATCACGTGGTTGCCCGCTTCGCCTCCTGTCAGTTAGCGTGAAAGCAAAAGTTTATCAGCACCATCTGCCCAGAGGCAAGCCTGCATATATCGTGCCAGTATTGTCACCATCTGCAGCTTCCCCTGTAGTTAACAGACACGATCGCAGTTCCCCCCGTTTTGACAGTTGGAGCCATTTGGGTTTAGACTTTGTTTTTATGTTTACAAACTGGACAAAGTGTGAGAATTCTCACAATTTGTTGATACATTATTTACAGTACTGATGTGTTACATATAAAGACCTAATTAAAAAGAAAAAAAAATCTAGTCAGTAACAGGTCTTAAAATAAGTACACCCTCAGATGTGTAACAAAATACGCCATATTACACTGTGTTATTATTTATATAACAAAAACTGAGCCGAAAGCACGCCTCAAGATCCAGGAGCTTGTTCAACCGCTTTTAGCAGCAACAGTGTGAAGTAATCCTTTTCTGTATGACTTTATCAGCCCTTCACATCAGGAGGAATTTTGGTGCACTCTTCTTTACAACATTGCTTCAGTTCATCGGCATTTGCAGGCATTTGTTTATGCTCAGCTCTCTTAAGATCCTGCCAAAGCATTTTACGCGTTGAGGACTTTGTGTGATTACACCACGTTGATTCTTGTCTTCTTCAGCTATTTTGTTGTAGATTTGTTTGTGTGCTTGTGATCATTGCACTCAAGCTTTAGCTGTCAAGTATATGGCCTTGCATTTGACATCATCACCGTGCTTGACAGCTGGTATGAGGTGTTTGTGCTGTTATGCTGTGTTTAGTTCACAAAATGTAGTGCTGAGCATTATGTCCAAATATCCCCAGTTTGGTCTCACTTGTCCAAAGGACATTGCGCCAGAGGTTTTGTGGTTTGTTCAAATGTGAGAGCCTTTCTTCTGGAAGCCGTTCCAAACAAGCCGTACTTGTTTATTTTTTTCCTAATTGTGCTGCCATGAACTTTAACATTTAGCATGCTAACTGAGGCCCGAGAAGTAGCTCTTGCAAGGCTTGAACTTGGAGTGAATTTGCTGGGACGTTCACTCCTGGGAAGATTGGCAACTGTCTTGAATGCTTTCCATTTGTAGATAATTTGTAGACAGATGGATTCATATTGTTTGGAAATGACCTTATAAGGTTTTCCAGATTGATGGGCAGCAGTTGCTTCTCAAGGATTATCATTGATGTCTTTGTGTTAACACACCTGAATCCTCCAAACCAGCAAACTGTCAAAACCTCTGCTGTTACAGAAGTGTTCACACTTCCTGAAACTAATAAATTGATGAAATGCATTTGATTAGCAGCATCTGGCTGTTACTTTACTGCTTCTGCATTTCTATTTATTATTTTTGTTTAACAATAAATAAAACCACAGTGTAATATGTCATGTGTTGTATTTCATCTAAGGTTATATTTAGCAAATTATAAAGCTTACTAAGCACCTGATGTCTTTTCATTATATCCTGATATGTGAAACCTTAAAGTTGAAAGAGGTTGTGCTTTGTGTAGATGGAGATAAACACTGCAGTACCATAGCAGTCTTTATATGCACAACTTCATAATTAAACCTCAGAGCTTAAAAACATAAATGCACTGTTTCTGCAGGTGGGGTTATGTTTTTGGCATGTTTTTAATGGGGATATTATGACTCATAACATTTGTGGTACAACCAAAAGCAAAAAGTGTAAGTGACAGTACTGTATGTCACTGAGCATTCTTTTTACCCACCCGATCCAAAAAGCTAGAATTTGATATAAGTTGATCATACAATATGAAATTTATTTGCAAACAGCTTCACACATCATTGGTTTTCATTATTATTATAAAATAGGTACTTTTTTGTATCTCTTTAATAAATCAGATCCTTGATTTCCTTTAGTCCTAGATGAAATATTACATTTTTTGTGTAGATATGGAGAAATTGTTCCGTGAAATCAGTTTCCCTCCTTTTCTCTAGCGCCCTGGGATGCCATCCAGCAGAGTGGGGGGCCCCATGGGGTCAATGGGGGGTCAGCTGCCTGGTCCCTCTTATGGTAGCAGTAGCATTCCCATGCGGGCAGGCATGGGACCCCCAAGCATGGACGCCTCTAGGAAACGGTTTCTTCATCACCAGCACCACCAACAGCAACAAGAGGCGCTGGGAGGCCTCAGACGAGGGTAAGAGAGGAGACGGGACAAAATGTAGGGGATGGTACTGCCAGTGTTTGGACCTCACTGCCATCTAAAATAACTAGCTATTACTCCTTCATGACTTTTAAACAATTAAATCTATTATTGATTATTCATTAAGTAAATGAAATCCAAAAATGTTTTCCTTTTTTCCTTTTATCATTAACTCTTTACCACTTGCAAGCTGCTAGTAGTGACCTGCTGAAACTCTTTTCAGAACTGCTGCTTATAGATGAAAATCACTGGGATTGCTACACAAGTGATGGAGTGTTAGTGAGGGTGGTCTCTGCCTATGTAGCGACCCTTAGGAAAAACCCAGAAACTGTTCTAATGGATGTCAAAGCACATGTTTATTGATAAATATTGAGGTTTGTGATTACGGGAGCTGGGGAGGTCATCAGATGTCGCCTTTATAGGGGAAAGAGTTAAATCACTTGTTCAAAGAATTAAAACTGTTACCAGGTATTTTTTTCCAGTAACTTAGAAATGATATAAAATAGGTTCAGCTCTAAAGTTTTTGCCAAGCCTAATTTTAATATCAAGCAACAGCAACCATTTTTATTTTTAGCACTTGACTGCTTGTCACATGTCCCCCTTTTTTATTGAGAAACTTTCGTGCTTATTTCCAGCTCCATATTGTTGGTCTTGTACTTTTCTAGAGTAGCTCTGGATGATTTACAGTTTAATCTTACTCATCTTATACTGTGCATACTGGCTCCATGGGTGTAGTGGTTTACACATTCCCCTTACAAGATTCCTGCTTCTAGATGGGGAGGAGATGCAAAAATGCACCCTCAGGGGGTCACAAACTTGTGCATTCCTAGTTCCTGGCCCAACACTGGATAGATGTGAGGGCTGTGTCAGGAACGGCATCTGTGCCAAAGCAAACACGCAGATCCATCCACCCCTTAAAGAGCATCCAAAAAGTACCTCATCTTATACTTTGCTTTAGTCCTTCAGCTGGAAACTGAAAGGTCTGTATAAACACGTCTGTTTCTAACACCTCTCTCAAAGCCAACTTTCTGATAATTGGCTGCCCCTCGTAACAGAAGTGGCTCATAGCCAGAGCTGTGTGGCTGAGATGACTATAATAAAGGTATCTGCTCTTGCTGACATCATAGGGAGAAAAAAAGGTAAATACAGGTTTTCAAAAGCCAGGTCCAACCCCACTGCCAAGTCCAACATTAACATACGTTTTAGGATTATTTGTGACTTAATGACTCCAGGAAAGAGTTCACTAGAATAAAGTAATTTTTGTGTGAAAATAAGAGTACTGATATGAATCTGAGTGTACAGGAAAACACGGTCACTCTAGGGAGTTTTCCATTAATATTTTCTCTGACAAAATGGGTGGAGTCATCCAGCTATAAAAATGCGGTAAATCTTTTTTACTTTTTCCCCTTTTGTGGTTTATTTACATTGTCTCAACAGAACGTTTCATTCATGATTTGTTCTCCCGTCTGTTTGTAAAGTGGCTGTACTGTTAAAAGCACGGCTCAGATCACACAGACACGAGGATACCAGCGTCTCATGACTGGCCTTTGCTTTCAAAGCAGCAGACACAAGTGGGTATTTTTGACTTCAGACTGCTCCGTGACGCCACGCTCATAAATGCGGCCATCCATAATGCTTCGTCCACAATGATTCTGTTGTGTTTTTAAGGTTAATTTCATAAAAAAAAGTCAGTACCTTAGCATAATCTCAGTCTAGGAAGATTAGTGAGTCATGGTGCCACCATCCTAAATTCTCATTTAATCACATGGAAATTAAATTCAGTCATTGCCAAGATGAAGTGTATAATTAAGGAAACGAAATCAATTTAATGAAGTCGGTAAGTAAAAACCTGAAGCACTCTTTCAGGGGACTTGATTAACATATCGCATTGGCCAAGATTATATTATCGCACTGTGAAGTCTTCCAATTACCGGTAATCGGGTTAAATGAAAGGGATCTTTTATTTGATCCTATATCATGTGTTGGTGTGTGGCCAGTTTCTGTGAAATTGGTTGACTGAAGTCATACTTATGAGGCCGAAAGCAAAATGATGACACACACACTGGAAAACAACAGCTCAGTTTGAGATATTCTTAGAAATCCGCTCCTTCACATCGTAGAGACTGTTAAAGCGGTCATTTAATGTCTTCTTTCCAAACTGAATAATTTTCCTTGTTTTTTCTCTATGATTCAGAGCAAAAAGGCGCAAGATGGCTGACAAGGTTCTGCCACAAAGGGTAGGAAAACCTCGACCCCCTTGAATCACACTGCTGTCCCAGTTGGCTGTATTTCCTCAATCTTCACCTGCTACTGTCTTCTAGATCCGAGATCTGGTCCCGGAGTCCCAGGCCTACATGGACCTCCTGGCCTTTGAGAGGAAGCTGGACCAGACCATCGCTCGAAAGCGTATGGAGATTCAGGAAGCCATCAAAAAGCCCATTATGGTATGTGTCCTTGATCCATTGTCATGCAGTTAAAAGTATACCTTGAGAAGATTATTTTTAGGCTTTGTCCACTGAAACAAATGAGAAGTCAGTAAAACATGATCTCAGCTGTAATCCGAGTTCCTGCGGAGCACAGTGTAAGCAGTTTCCACAGAACAGCAGGACAGTTGGTTCCCACACTGAAATCCGACCTTTGTGTTTCCTTGCTACAATTTTAACTGTTAGCGTTAACCTTAGTGGCAGAAACACTCGGTCTGCTGAGATGTGTCACAACAAAAACAACTCTAGCAGCAGGAAAATCTGCATTAGCAGTAAATTAATCCAACTGTGACACAGCCACAGAGAAGAGCAAACGGTGTGACTGGTGTGAAGTTAAAACGGTCACAACTTTTTCCTGTGAATCCCTCGTTAGGTTGCAGTGTTTTCCGGTCTTAATAATGTGAACTTATACATAAGGATGAAGTTATTGTAAACACCCTTAATAGCCTGAAATGAAGCGTTTGTCTTTGTTGGAGAGTGAATTTGGCAAGTGAGCTTGAGAGGCTCAATTGTTGCCAGAATTCCTGATACATCTGCTTGTCCCTCTGAAATTACACAGCAAAAGCGCAAGCTCAGGATCTACATTTCCAACACGTACACTCCCAGCAAACCCGAGGGTGAGGAGGCGGAGAAGGTGTCCTCCTGGGAGCTGAGAGTCGAGGGCAAACTCCTGGAGGAAGTAAGTTTAAAAAAAAAAAAACACATTCGAGTGTTCTCGCTATTGTCCCGGTGTGGTCTGACTGCAAGTATTTCAGTCTCTCTCATTGTGTTTCTTCAAACTTGAGTTGGCCAGTGTTCTTGGCTCAGACTACGCAGCCAGATGTGTGTTTACAGCTTTTCTCATTCCACCCCACAACTGCTGACACACACACTCAGGATCTCATTTGAAATACGGAATTGAAACCACTGGCCGTTGCATACCATGAGCTGACTAGCCTCCCCTCCCGACATCAATTCTAGCTCGACTCATTGTGTCATCTGGGGCCACATGAAGGAGAAGGAGGTCTTTTTTTTTCTTTTTTTTTCTTTTTTTTCTTTTTTTTCTTTTTTTTTTGTCTGTTAAAATTTCTCCTCAGTCTCATGGGTTTAGGCATGTGGAGGAGTATTGCATGGAGCAACAGAAAAAGGGATGTGAGGGAAAGGAGTGAAGGGGTCGTGTTGAGCAAACAGACTCTGACAGGGCTGGGGAGCGGGCAGACAAGGGGGGGGTGAAGACAGCTTTTTCTAGTCTACAGTTTTGCGCTTCACCACCACCCCCAATGCGGTCAGAGCTAAACAATGCAGCTGCACACTGACACAGCACAATAAGAATACACTGCTTTCTTGCTGCTCCGTCCTTCTGACACTTTTGTTTCGTGCTTTCTGTCTTCCCAGGCTGGCAAGCAGAAGAGGAAGTTTTCATCTTTCTTCAAAAGCCTGGTGATTGAGCTTGATAAGGAGCTCTACGGGCCTGATAACCACTTAGTAGAGGTATGACATAAACCTTGGTTGCAGTTCCATTCAGAACATCGTAGGCACATTGACACCAGAAGTTCAGAGAGTGATAATAGTTCGCCAGCACCGACCTTGTTTAGCTGTGGTCAAGAAGCTGAGCTCAGATTGAAACACTAGAAGTTTGGAGCCAATCCTTCTTTCTTTTTTTTGACTGTAGGCGGGCTTATTGTGTGTGAACTCATCCCACACATAAACCAGATTCTCTCTTCTTCTTTTTTTTTAAACTGAAAAATTGTGGTTAACAGTGGTGAAAGTGAGAATTTCCAGTCTTAGGGATCTGCTGATGGAACGGTTTATTTAACCTGGCACTGAGTCATTATGGTTGTAAAGTAGTTTTGTAAATTTCATGTTAATAAAATCTGCTTATCTGCTTTAAAAAAATCACGTCTTCATCTTCCAGTGGCACAGAATGCCCACCACTCAGGAGACGGATGGTTTCCAGGTCAAAAGGCCAGGAGACGTGAATGTTAAATGCACCCTTCTGCTCATGCTCGACCACCAGGTGCCACTTACTTTCTCAACCATCACTAAATTTTTTCCTGATGATATTTCTTTTTTTCCACCAACATTTGCTTTGTCCCGATGCTTTTCTTTGATCAGCCCCCTCAGTACAAACTGGATCCACGGTTGGCTCGCCTTCTGGGTGTACACACACAGACACGAGCCAGCATCATGCAAGCTCTCTGGCTTTACATCAAGAACAACAAGCTGCAGGACAGTCATGAGAAAGAGTACATCAACTGCAACCGCTATTTCAGACAGGTAATGGCAAATGGCTAGAAATGGCTCGTGGCGCTTTGATATTTTGGCACTGAAACATCATTTTGCATGTATTTAATTTCACAGCTAAATGATTTGCATTCAAGCAATTATGATTTTTGTGAGGTGTTGTTTTGTAGCCCTTTGCAAGACCTCAAATAGGAAAAAAAGTTTTTCCCCTTATGTTGTCTAACTTGCTCTGTTCTTTAACTAAATCCTGTCCAGATCTTCGGCTGTCCACGCATGAGGTTCTCTGAGATTCCCATGAAACTGGCGGGCCTGCTGCAGCACCCTGACCCCATTATTATCAATCACGTCATTAGGTAGGGGAGCCTGGATCATGTTACCTCTTTCTGTCTGAAAAAAGAGCTACATCAGCCTCTCAGTGAATATTAGAAAGCCCTGTGTGTGAGGCTCATACTGAACGATAGTTTCCTTAGCTTTATGTTTTGGCCTGTTATTTCTTAGTGTGCTTACACAAGTGTGCTGTCAGCATCACTCCTTCTCTCCAAACTGTCATTGTGTCTCCCCCGAGCAGCGTGGATCCCAACGATCAGAAGAAGACCGCATGCTATGACATTGACGTGGAAGTGGACGACCCACTTAAGGGTCAAATGAACAGCTTCCTGTCTTCTACAACCAACCAGCAAGAAATCGCTGCCCTCGAGATGAAGGTAAGGCTTCATCTGCACTTCACCAGAGTCGTGGAGGGGGAAAGAAATTGCATACTCCATTTAATTCTGAAAATGTGCTGCTGGTGTTTGTATTCGCTACAGATTCATGAAACCATTGAGTACATTAACCAGCTGAAGACCGAAAGAGATTTCATGCTGAGCTTCAGCAATAATCCACAGGAGTTCATCAAGGATTGGCTGAAGTCTCAGTCCAGGGATCTGAAGGTAGACGCTATGCTCCAGCTTCTAAAATGCTCATACGTGCTTGTCTACACAACAGCAAAACATGTTATAGTTTAGTAACACGATATTTGTATCATCTTCACTCACTTTGAGCTTTTCTCATATTTGTACAGTTGCCTGCAAAGCTTTCCCTGTATTTAATTTAAAAAAGCTGCAGTTATTTTGTGAGCAGTGGTAGTATGTTTCCAGCTTTCATAGACAATTAACTGCTGGGCACACAAAGGCACCATTGGTTCACAGGACTGTGTCCAAACATAGCATTGGTATTCAGTTGAAAGCAAAACACCAGTTAGCTGTTTGTGCTGCATTCCTCATCTGGAGAGACGTTAGCACCTGGATTAAGATGTAGGCCTTTAGGAACCAGGCTCAGTGAATCATTGATCCATCAGACTCTCAGTACTACTACAGTCACTTGGCAGTGCATGAATCAGTCTTTACAGTACCGTCTTAGCATGTGGGAATAGAAACCCCTTTTCTTTAATCATTCAGTTTTGGTTCCCTGTGTTCAGTGATGCATTTCTGTTCTTTCAGTTGATGACAGATGTGACTGGAAACCCAGAAGAGGAGAGGAGGACCGAGTTCTACCATGAGCCCTGGGTGCCAGAGGCAGTGGGCAGATATGTTTACTCCAAAGTAAGTAGACAGTGAATAATACACTTTTTAGTGCTAACTAGTGTTAGCTTATACATGTCAAGATGTGGTAAGTCAAAACATTACAACAAAATAAAATTAGAAAGATAACTCAAAATTTCAAAACCAATGTGTGATGTCACAGCGTCCATTTTTTCTATACAGTTTGTGGTTTTGCCATTGAGTCTAACCTCTTCTTTGCTATAGGTGCAGCAGAGAAGACAAGAGCTGGAGCAGGTGTTGGGTATCCGACTCACCTAAGTACAATTCTAAAGGAGGCACAGCCACCTTAGGTTTACTCATGAGTTGTTAATGTTCCACTCAGCTGAAACTGGAAAGAATTCTTTCACCTTTAAATGTTCAGAAAGCCATCGTCACTGACGCAAAGTTCGGGGACCAAAGTGATGCTTATATGACCTTTAATAATATCTTTGCCTTGTAGTATCTGATATATTGAGCCTGTTTAAATAACCTTTATCCTTTTTTTATTTTTGCAATATGTTTTGTCTCTGGTACAAAATGCTGTTTAAGCACTGGTGCTGTTTGGGTGTTTTCACTGTCACTTTGAGTGCTGTTTTGAAAGAGGTATGTGTTTACCCTTACATTGAAAAGCCATAATTTTTAGATAAGAGTAATGCCTGATCTTCCTGGAGGCATGGTAGAATTAAGCATTTCATTCCAGTGTGTATAATACATTTAATGCTTTTGCAGCATTTTTGAAAGTTGAAATGAAACATTCTGATTTTGTGAATGTTTACATGCCGTTTTTATTTGTTAGTGGGGTGATTCGAGGGGAAGAGGAGCTGAGGCTCTTTAGATTGGATGGATCCATACCTTCAAAGAAAGTTAACTGCTGTTAATAATTTGATAGGAATGTAACTGCAGTATGTCAGCTAAAAAAGGAAAAAAAAAGTGCCAAAATATTGTGTACAGTTTATAGTTTCATGAGTTAAAGCTTTGCTGTTTTGTTGACTTTTTGTACATCAGTCTTAAAGTTCTTGAAACATTCCTTTTTGACAGATATCATTGTGCCAAAATGTCTTTAGTGAAGAAGGCACATAGAATTTAAGATGAGGTAAAAACGTTGTGTACAAATGTTATTTTTGTACAGCTTCTCTTTGTTAAATGTTTGCATGTTGTGTATCAATCAAAAGCCTTTATCTTTTATACATTTGGAGTATTTTTTACAATAAATATACTTACAAATGTTCACGTACTGTGTGTTCTTTAACAACATTCAGCCTGTTACAGAGGGGTAAGAATTTATATAGAATATTGTCCGTTGTAATAATGTTGTCTACCGCACACCCTCGATTGCATGCTTAGAGAGCTGCAGATATGCCGTGAGGTGCATGTTGGGGCTGGTTGCAAAGCTTAGGTGCCTCTGAGAGCAGCCGTTTCAACAGGTATGTCTGGTCTTACTCAAACAGCTTCTGTTTACCACTCCTCAAATAACAGCCAACCCTAAAACACCTTTCGGCTTGTAATGTGACACTGGTTCAAAGAAAAGGCCAGCCTAACGTTTAAAACTGAATTAGATTCTTTGATCATTTTTGCATGTGTTTACTGACTTAATTATGCTTTGAATATGGTCTCTTATTTTCAATTTAATTACATTTTATTTATCTAGCACCAAATCACAACAAGGGCCAGCTGAAGGTGCTTTATATCGTAAGGTAGACCCAATATTAACAGACACAATTCCTTAGTATTCCAAGAATTCATATTGGTTACATAGAAATTATTTTTAAAGTTAAAGAGAATATTGGATTTTTTTTTCTTCACCCACTACACCTTGCCTGCACCGTCTCTTTCACCTCTCCTATGCAGTTTGCTTTGGATGTTTGATCCCAATGCCTCTACCTTCACTACCTCACATCTTTACTGTCACACCAGCCTGCCCTTTATTCACAGACGTATTCTTCGCCTCGCTTCTACCATCTTCATTCCTTTCTTCCCCAGTCTTCTACCTCCTCCCTGCTCTCACTATAGATTACACCGTCATCTGTGAACATGATAGTCCATGGATTCGCCTGAGTGAACTCATCTGTTAATCTTTCCATCACCACTGCAAACATTAAGGGTCTCAGAACAGATTCCTGATGTAATCCCACCCCCGCCTTGAACCCATCTGCCACTCCTACTGCGCACCTCACCACCGTCTCGCTGTCCTCACACGTCCTGGAATTATTTTTTTAAAGGTGTAGTTTTTTAAAATGGACTGTAGGTGGCGGTGTCTGCATTTCTATATATTATACATCAAAGAAATACCACGAAAACGCTGTACCGGAAATAGCGCCTGGTCTGCAGTGGCTTTAACCGGATGTAGAAATTTCAAGATGGAGGTGGACGGAATTGATCATGTAGGTGTATTTTTTTCCCCTGCCACTTTGTTGCTTTTATGACTGCCATGCGAAGGAAACGTTTCTGTTTTGCTGTGGGTCTAATAGATTATTCAAAATCGGTTGTTTGAGGGAAGGATGCGGGACTTCAGTGTAAAAACGGAAACGTCACTTCATTGAAAACAGCGATTGTGCCGGTTTGCTGTCTCATTGTAGCTAACCCAGCTAGCTTCTCACGATGACTGGCAGCGAGGTGCGGACAGTTTATTCTATTCTTAGCTTTTTTTGACCACACAGGGGTGCTTATTTCAGTATATTATGAGATATATATATCTGAGTTTATTATATGGGAAACACCAAGCGTTACTTTATTAATATACGTGCACGTCTGTGCGTAAGCTAACTGATGTTAGTTTGCTAATGAACTGTAATTGTTGGGAGAAAGTTAGCGTCACACACTTTAACGCTTATTGTTACATAGGTTGTTGTTGTTTTTTTGTGTTTTTAATTCCTTGCCTAAAAGATATTTCCTGTGTTGGTGCTACTGGTTAGGCCTAATGGTTAATGTAAACAGTGGTCAATTTAAACCAGTTCAGTCCACCAATTTAATCAATGAAAATTGGACAAATGCGCATTTCCATTCTTCTATAATATTAGATAATGGCAAGCTCGGCGTACACTATTTACTGATAAATGTTGTGTACTTTGCATTGTCCAACATAAGATCCTCTCATCGGGCATGTATGTTGGACTTAGCTAATGTAGATGATTTATATGCTGCTGGGTTAATCTAAAATAATGTTCGCGGGAAAAACTTTACAGTTCCTCAGTATTTTTACAGCATAAGTCTGTAGGCTGCTATATAATTGGTATCTTAATCTTTAACTTTAAATGTAGTGGCGTAAATGCTATAGTAGGAAAAAGAGACGTGGTTTGCATCCTTCAGGAGATATCTGCCTAACTAAAACTATGCATAGAGGCTGCTTCATATTGAGGGTATACAGAGTACACAGTGACGTCTCTGCATTGCGTTTTGGCTGGAGCCTATTCCAGCTGTCATAAGGCCAGTGGCAGGGTACATCATGGACAGGTCGCCAGTCTTTTGCAGGGCTAATTCATATATACAACTATTCGTGCTCACATTCACACCGTCACCAATTAATCTTACACCACCTTGGACTGGATTCAAACCCAGAACCTTCCTGCTGTGATACAGCAGTTTTAACCACCATACCACACTTGATGGTCGACTTTTAAGTTGCAAATGGGGACTAAAGGAAAAGCACTTCTCATCAGTGAGAATTCATTTGACCCAGTTTGCTGTCGGCGCTATCAAAATCATCATCACTAACACAAATTGGCAGGCAGCATAGCAATCAACTGGCCAACATACTTTCTTATCTTAAAACAAGAATGAAACAAAATTGATGGCTTATGAACACAGTCATTGATTAATGCATATTTAACCTCCTAAGACCCAAACTCTTCCACAGCATGCATTTTTAATTTCTCTTTGATATTTGGGCTGATTGGGACCCGATGAATGTAAAAATAAAGAATTACCAGAATTTTTTTTTTTTAACCTAATTTTTGTTTCTAAGAAAAATGAGAGCCACATATAAGGATATTCCTTTAAAATTTCAATAGAACAGTAGCAGTATTATGTCCTCGTAAGTGGATATCAGGCCCTTGTGGAGCAAAATTGACTAGTTTGGTCTAAATAACCCAAAATGTGATGTCCACATATGTGGATGCCAGGTCCTAGGAGGTTAAATATGCCATATTTAAATGTTCAAGAGCTCACTGTGAAGTTGCAGCAACATGTTTCTTTAGCAGATGGAGATGGGGGAGAGTAAAGGTGGATCAGGTCTGCGGCAGTACTACTTATCTAAGATAGAAGAGTTGCAGGTGAGGAAATGAAAAATCATTTTTGTTTTTGTTGCTTTTTAACGCGTGCTCGCCCATCATGCCTGACCTGCTTTTTTTTCTTCATAGTTGACTGTGAACGAGAAGAGTCAGAATCTCAGACGTCTGCAGGCACAGAGAAATGAGCTCAATGCCAAAGGTATGGTGCTTTATCTTCCTGCCACATTACTGGGAATTGTGTCATTCTGATGTACACAGTCAGACATTTCCTTTGTTACTTTGGTCTCAGTGCGTCTCCTTCGTGAGGAGCTGCAGCTACTACAGGAACAGGGATCCTACGTGGGAGAGGTGGTGAGGGTCATGGACAAAAAGAAAGTGCTAGTTAAGGTATGTTGTGTACATTCACCATGCAGCATCCTTCTTTTTGAATCAGTCGTGGACAGTTTAAATTTATGTCTGTTCATCATTTTCAGGTGCATCCAGAGGGAAAGTTTGTGGTGGATGTGGACAAAAACATTGACATCAATGATGTGAGTATTATAAAAGCTGAGTCCATTTGTAATAGTTACTGTAAAGTATGATAGAGCTAAACAAGAAAAAAAAATGCATTTTACTCATTAAAATAAGTACTAGGAATCAGGAAACCTAAACTGTTCTGTTATTATTTCTGTGAAATTGCCACTAGGTGACTCCAAACTGTCGTGTAGCTCTGCGTAACGACAGCTACACCTTGCACAAGATCCTTCCTAACAAGGTGGACCCTCTGGTGTCCCTCATGATGGTGGAGAAGGTGCCGGACTCCACCTATGAAATGATCGGCGGCCTGGATAAGCAGATCAAGGAGATCAAAGAAGTGATTGAGCTGCCCGTCAAACACCCTGAGCTGTTTGAGGCTTTAGGCATTGCCCAGCCCAAGGTGGGTATTTGACAAGAGAGCCGATGGTACGAATTTCAGAAGTTTCTCTTAGGGTTTTATATTTATATCTTTGACACATTTTCTCGTCTTGTTGCCTGCCCATCATTCACTTCAGTCCTAAAACATGAAAAGCAAAGACAGGGGGGAAAAAGATAATTTGATTAAATTGGTTAACTAAAGCTACACTTGTTGCATCTGTGTAGGTGGTTCAGATTTTCCTTTGTGCTTGCAGGGTGTGCTGCTCTATGGCCCCCCAGGTACAGGGAAGACCCTCCTTGCCAGAGCTGTGGCCCATCACACTGACTGCACCTTCATCAGGGTGTCTGGATCAGAGCTGGTCCAGAAATTTATCGGAGAGGGTGCGTGCCTTTTCTTTCCTGTACACTGGGATTGAATTGATCCCCATGTTTTTAATAACTGGTTTTGGTTGATCTCTCCCTGGCTTTCCGCAGGTGCCCGTATGGTGCGAGAACTCTTTGTCATGGCAAGAGAGCATGCTCCGTCCATCATCTTCATGGATGAGATAGACTCCATCGGCTCATCTCGGCTGGAGGGAGGCTCAGGCGGGGACAGTGAGGTGCAGAGGACGATGCTGGAGCTGCTCAATCAGCTGGATGGCTTCGAGGCAACCAAGAACATAAAGGTACTGCAGAGGATCACTGTGTAGTCTCATATCCTTACTATGAACACTGAGGTGTAGTGTTATGTGCACAGGACAGCCTCTTAATACATGCGTTACTGATGACATTTCGGCTTGCTGTATAGGTTCTTTATGCATAAATGACATTGTGGTACAACTGGTATTTATTTATATACCAGCATCACCTAAAGTTGCTGATGACTACAGAAGACCTTTATAATATTTTGAAACAAGTAATGCTGCGTTTGTTAAATAAATGTTCATGAGTGCCAAACATGGGAGTTAAAGTATTAAATAACCCCAATTATTCAAATATACTTAATAGTATGTCGTCCATCTCTGCAGGTCATCATGGCCACTAACCGTATTGACATCTTGGACTCAGCTCTGCTCCGGCCAGGCAGGATTGACAGGAAGATAGAGTTTCCGCCTCCCAATGAAGAG